GGGTGGATGTGGGACGCGGGGGGCAGGCAGGTCATGGGACTCGAAAAATGGGGAACGGGGGGGACGTGCAGGACACAGGGGTGGGAAGGATGGGGGGCACGGGGGGACAGCCAGAGGTCACATGGGGGACACAAGTCGCAGGGACACAAAGGGTGGCGGACACGGGGGACATGAAACGCAGGGACAGGAAGGATGTGGGACACAAAGGACACGAGGGGGACACAGAGGTCACAAGGGGCGGGGAACGTGGGGGATATGTGGGACACAAAGACAGGGACACGAAGGATGGGGGGACACTAAGGACAGGGGACTTGAAGAACACGGGATGCGAACCCAGGCACAAAGGACGGGGGACATGAAGGAGGGGGTGACATCAAAGGTGGGGACACAAAGGATGGGGGATACGAAGGGCCTGGGGACACGTGGCAGCGAGGACAAGCTGTTGGGGGGGAACACGAGGAACCCACTTCCCTGGGCAGTTGCCGAGGAAGGTGAAAAAAAAAAACCCTTTTCAGCTTAAAGATGTTTTTTAGAATTAAATAACAGAAGAAGGGTTCCCGTGGAGGGGCCAGGAGCGCGGGTGCTCGCTCCCCCTCCCAAATCATAACCGAGCCCGCAGTTCACCCAGTTGCAGGAAAGCAAGTAATACTTGTTAAAAAAACAAAACCACAGAGTAAGTGGCCGCCCCGAAAGGGGACTTTTCCAGAAGGCTCCTCGTCTGCGGCACCTGGGCATCTTGTCCGGGGTCACAACTATTGCCTGGTGGGTTTGCAGTGGGGTTTCCCAGGAACAGGAAAATTTGACCCAGTGGTAGTGCCGGTTGGGACCACCGGCTGCGTGGCACTGGGCGTCCTCCTTGCCTTGAGCTGGATGGTCTTCAGAGGGGGGGTCCCCACGAAGCGCTGGGTGGGGGGCCGGGAAAGCGCCATCTCACGTCCCTCTTGTCTCCCTGCCACGCTGCAGCTCCTGGTCGCTCGCCGGAGGAGAACCAGCTGCTACTTCTATCCCCGCGCCTGGCCCAGCCTCAGGAGCACGGACTGGTGGGAGCGGGTGGTCCTGAAGGAGTTTGGACCCCAGGACTGGCTGGAGAAGTTCCGGATGTCTAAGGAGACCTTCTTCTATGTCTGCAACCAGCTGCGGCCCGGGCTGGCTCCGCACAGCACCCACTTCCACCCCACCCTGCCCCTGGAGAAGAGGGTGGCCGTGGCCCTGTGGCACTTGGCCACCAATGTGGAGTACCAGACTCTCAGCCCACTCTTCGGCGTGGGGCCCTCCACGGTGCAGGCGTGTGTCCGGGAGGTGAGCTACGCCATCGTCTTGCTGCTGAAGCCCCTCTACCTCCGGCTGCCCAACGAGAAGGAGCTGGAGAACATGGTGCGCATCTTCCGCACTCGCTGGGGCTTCCCGCACTGCATCGGCGCGCTGGACAGCCTTCACATCCCCATCCACCCGCCCCTGCGCCTCAGCGCCGACTACTGCAACGGCCAGGGCTGGCACTCCATCCTGACGCAGGCCACCGTGGACGGGCTGGGCCAGTTCTGGGACGTCTCCACCGCCTTCCCCGGCAGCATGGAGAACAGCGCGGTCCTGGAGAGCTCCAGCCTGTGGGTGCTGGCCAAGGAGGGCCGGCTGTGCCCCAACCCTCCCAAGCACTTCATGGGGAAGGCGCAGAAGTATGTGCTGCTGGGCGATGCCACCTACCCCTTGCAAGACTGGATCCTCAAGCCCTACCAGGAGGACGAGAACCTCACCCAGCGGCAGCTGCAGTTCAACTACCGCCTGAAGCGGGCGCACAGCGTGATCGAGAACGCCTTCCTGCGCCTGAAGGCTCGCTGGCAGATCCTCCTGAAGTGCGACGACTGCAGCCTGGAGCTGCTGCCCACCCTCGTCCTTGCCTGCTGCATCCTGCACAACGTCTGTGAAGCCCACGACAACCCCTTCAACGAGGAGTGGCTGGAGGGCACCGAGCCGACCGAGCTGCCCAAGCCCTGCCAGCCCGCGCCTGCCGCCATGGAGGACGGCCGGGCCGAGCAAGTGCGCGAGCTGATGTGCCAGTACTTTGAGAGCTGTGGGGAGGGCTGACGGGGCCGGGGGGGAGAAGCAGCCCTGCGCACCCTTGCTCACGGACTTCCCACGGACTCTGGCAAACGTTGGCCCAGCGGTACCGGGCTGTTCGGCAAAGGCTGCCGGCGGAGTGAGGAAGGCTGCTGGCTGCACCGGCCGTTGCTGGGGCGGGGAGGGGGGCGGCTGCATCACGCTCATGCTGGTTTTGCCACGGTGGTTTCAGGCAGTGGAATGTATTTTGTGCCCTTGCTCTCCTCCAGGATTTGAGCGGTCTGGTGGTGTGTTGTGTGCCGTGTGAGTAAAGCAGGGATCGGGGCTGGGTGAAGGAGAGGGCTGCCTGGGCCTCCCTTTCCTGGGAGCATGTCTCAGTCCCAAGGCCCCTCCGTCAGGCTGAAAGAAGGCTTGAAATAAGAAGGCAAAACCCCTTTGAAGGTATGAAACTTGCTGCATAAACACACTTGGGAGGGGAAGGGAAGGAAGAGGCAGAGCGGTGACTTGCCGGGGGCTGGCACCAGCCCGGAATGAAACTGCATCTGCAAACTCCTGCTCTGCTGCTGCTCAGGCAGCGCGTGCTGCCCTCGGGGGGAGCGGGCTGAGCCACGGCCCGGCGTCCCTCCTCACCCCTCTGCGGAGGGGTTTGCCTTGAGGGTCCGTGGCTCAGCCCCCGAGGTCCCTCCCTGTCCCACCGGCCAGTTCTTTCTGCCGGCGCTTTCGATCTCTGCTCCCAGCCCGGCTGCAGCGTGAGCAGACACACGCGCCTCTGCCCCCCGTATCGCCCGAGGAAATCCAGCGGCTGGGGGGGCT